TACAGTGCACCCTTGCTGTAACACGGGTAGCGGCACCATAATTACATCCGCATAATAAGACCACTCGAATTACACTAAAAGAGAAAAGCACCAGATTGAAGAATCCAGCATTTTTCTAATATACGGAAATATTATACAGATATAAAATTCAATAATTTCAAAAAATTTTTTTATGCATTTCGATTGCCAAATTATTGAAATTAAACGCAATAAAAAACAGAGCACAGAATACATTATTTGCAAAAAAATATCACGAAAGTTTAATTAAATTGTTCATTGATCGACGCATATAGGAATCTGAATCACATCATGCACATTTGTATACATTATTATTTATTTAAAATTTTAATTGAAATTTTTGCGCGCAACTGGATTAATCGGCTCCTGTGGACTTCAAATATCATCATGCTTTCGCGAACACTTTTTTAATAACATAATCAGTAATTCACAGGTATAATTAAATAACGCACAAAGAAGGGGGAGTTAACGTTTCGTTTGTTACTTTTAACTATTAAATACCATGTTCTTCGCACTTAAACCACAAAAAAATTCAATTCAACAGCAATATCACTTATTTTAAAACAGCATATTTTTAGAATTTCCGATAGACAGTTTCGTGTTCTGGAGATAAAAATATTTTTCCCCGTACAATGTTGCCATTGCTCGCTTTGAATTCGTTATGCTTCTTAATCAAAAATTCGTTAAGTTTTACAAAATATGAAAGAGATAATAAAACAAATTCGAAATTTAAAATTCGGACTACCAGGTGCTCATGTTCAGGTGGAGGATTAAGTTATTCAAAATTTGATGGCTCTAGGTACCATCGTTTGTTTCACAATGAGAGAAACATACATACATTCATGCGGATTCTTCATTATTTAATTTCTTTAAATATAATACAGGTTCTAATATTTGGTGGCAATAATTTAAAAAGTGTTTTCCCGTTTATAGTGAAACGCCACAAAACGCAGTTTTGAGTCTAATACTTCTTCTGGGCTACCACCCTTTTGGGAGGGGAATAAAGGAAATTAAATCTTTTTCTTAACTTTTAAGTTTTTTTTTTTTTTTTTTTTTTTTTTTTTTTTTTTTTTTTTTTTTTTTTTTTTTTTTAATTCTAAAATACAGCATAAGCTGTTCATACCCAAATATCAAAACTATATATATAAAATATTTTCAAGTATTCCACCTTTTCATTCTTATTATTTCATGAGTATTAACGGTATCTGATGACGTATCATTTACGAGAAAATTGATCACGAGAACCTTTTTATGGGAGGTATCATAAAACGCCGGAATTAGTAACTTCTTCTTCATAGTGCATCTAAGATTGATATTCTGCTTTCAAGACATCCCACGTAAAAGAGTGAAATGCACGTCAGTTATCTACAGAGTAATTAAAAATTGAAGCCGCAGCCAAAACCATGTTATAACTTACTTACCAGTGGATGGACTATGCGAAAGATGCCTTGTGTATCACGGATTTAAGAAATGCGTTTTTTGAATAAGCGAAGTGCAAGAAATACAGATTAGCCTTAACCGCAAGGCAAAAGCCTTGACTGTCAAAGACTAGAGTGATTAGCTCGATAAAACATAAGTGATTGGAGGAACAGGGAAAAACTTAGATTAAAGCCAGTTCAGCCTCATTCAAAACATCAAAATATTGGGTTATATTACTTCCCAGAAATATTTAAATGTCGCAATCTTAGCTGCAAAAATGCTGACGAGGAAGACAAGATACGCACCGAAGTGTTATAAATTGGTTAGCAGTACAGAATCAGTTATCCGAACTTCGATTAGTTGAAATATGAAAATGTTTTGGAAATTAGTCTCTGTTACTAGACACCATACAAAAGCCTTCAGGTCCAAATACCGAGTTTAGAAAAAGACATGCATTTTTGCGTAATTACTCTTGAGTAAAAGCTTATGCCATCTTTTGTGCTGCGTATACTCAATATCAGAGAGCGGAAATCCGTTACACATGATTCCGCATAATGTTTCAACCGTACCAAGCCTAGTGGGCAAACTGAACACATTTCGTAAGATTTGTATCTGTCGAAGATGGTATATGATGGTAATGACGAAGCAGCTTTTGAAAACGCATCATTTTATACGGACGTCTGCAATGTAATTTAGTTTACTATGGACTGGTATAAAAAATAAGCCTAGTATGATACAAAAGGTTTTGTTGTTCTACATTCTATAGACCCTGCGTGATCTGGCAGCTTAAAGACGTCAAAATTAGCCAAACAAAGCAGCATACACTCATATTTCAATCAGCAACAGGATTTTAACTAATTTATAATATTTTTGCTCACCTCTATAATTATTTATATATTGATTGATTTTGATTGCACTCTACTGCATTGTACTGTGTGCATTGTACTGCAGCACTACATTTTACTGTGTCCGGATAATCCAGGTTCTGTTTTAATTTTACGATTTAGAACAGCATTTTTAACTCTCTTATTTAAATCCCATTGGGAAACAGAATACTTTTAACCCTTAAATGCATGAATTAAAAAAAAAATATTTAAGTCAAAAATACATTAGAACTGATGTCAAATAAAATAGGAAAAATACTAAAAAGAAATCTAAACTAAGTTTTTATTCCAATTTTTGAAAAAAATATTATTGTTTCCAAATGGCTACATTAAGCAAAAACAATATGATAGGCAAATGTGTAATAACAATTTTAAGTAATAATACATACCTTATAAACTTATTCAAACAATTTTAAAACTTTGAATACATCCAAAATAACAACAAACACAAAATCAAAAATTCGTAAATACAAATAATGTCCACATCAACTCACAATAATGGCCGTTACAGCGTTAGTGCTGCACTGAAACTTTCAAAACTATATACGTAAACAGCACGTATTCAATTGTAGAAGTTCATTATGTAGTAAGCTAAAATTTGCGTTTTGATTTGATTTACATGTCTAAATATGAGTATGCTTTAAATCCTAGGAGTACGTCTCCATTATTCGTTTATAAGTTTCTCTCAGAAACGTTCTTCATAAAGCAATAATCCGCAAAGTAATATTCATTATGAGGTAACTATTTTGCAACAATACGCTGAGTAATCAACAAGTTCTCCTAGTAAGAATTAACTGTCAAATAGAAAACGGCACTTTCCTTTGGGAAAAAAGACGGATAATTGATATCTCAAAAGCTCTGAGAGAACGCAATAACGAAATATTCTATGACGAAACATAATTTGAAAACAATTACCTTTGCAAAGAAGTGCACTATTAAATGTTATCCAATAATGTATGTGCTACACGTACAAGAATTCTACCCATTTTTTAACTGTGACATTAAGGGTATTTCGTTATTCAATGAGCGAAGATCATTACGTGTGGGCATACTGATGATATCTTGTCGTCTGGGAGCGCTTTTTGTATTATATGGAAGAATGCTTTCTGCGTTGCAGCAAGCGGTAGAATGTTACGCAATAGGTTAGCATTGGCATATTTGAACATAAACTACAAGCTACTAGATGTGTAGATTTTTAAGTTCTTTAAAAAGAAACTTATTACCATTACATTTCCTGATGTTAAAAATAAATTTAATCGTAGACCAATTTAAGCATTTTGTTTCAGTGGCATTTTACTAATGGCATTTCTAACCAATGCAATCCTAAGACAATACCTCAAACATAGGGACAAAGTTGCACGTTCTTCACCAGTGTATAAAATAAAGCAGTGGTCTTTACACTGTGATCCGTGGAATCCCGGGGTACCGCAAGTCAAACCCCAGGGTTCCACGAGTCAAAATTAAAATTCGAAAAGGAAACTGTCAAGCACTCATGCTAATTAGACATGTAAACTGTAAACATGTTACACGGTAAAGCACTAATTACTGTTTTTGGCATGAATTATCCTGTTTTTGTTAACTCCTTTAATAAACTTAAGGGTTATAATATTCTCAAAAACTTGAGGATTATAATATAAGTCATTACCTCTCCATTCTGACGTTCTCATTTAGGAAATGACAGATCCTCACAAAGTGGCTCTTATCGAGTACGTTTTTTCCAAGACGGTCAATGTGATCATAACGCAAGTTCGTATGAACGCGTTTACTTTATTCCACGCCATTACAAAAAAGTACGGCTGAAAAAACAAGAGAAACTTCGGCCCGTTGACAGAAAAGCACCAGCAGAATCGCAGAGGAAAACATGCAATTCCTGAGGAAACTATTTTTACAATTATTGAGTTTAACAGCTCCCTCTAGGGGAGAAAGCCTCCTTATTTCTTAAAAACAAGAGTACGAAAATACACCTGCCGGAACAGTATTTTGTAATTTAGATTTACAAAATTACATGTATAAAATAAAAAATCCAATGTCAGATGATGAATTCAGATATTTTTAATTCTAAGTTTAACATCATATTCGATTACACAAGAAAAGGACACTTGTAGTCGTTGTGATACATTAAAATCAAAAATTGATATGCTTGCCAAAAAATCGAAAAAAATTGCTGAAGGAGAGAAAAAAAAGGACACTTGTAGTCGTTGTGATACATTAAAATCAAAAATTGATATGCTTGCCAAAAAATCGAAAAAAATTGCTGAAGGAGAGAAAAAAAAGGACACTTGTAGTCGTTGTGATACATTAAAATCAAAAATTGATATGCTTGCCAAAAAATCGAAAAAAATTGCTGAAGGAGAGAAAAAAAAGGACACTTGTAGTCGTTGTGATACATTAAAATCAAAAAATTGATATGCTTGCCAAAAATCGAAAAAAATTGCTGAAGGAGAGAAAAAAAGGACACTTGTAGTCGTTGTGATACATTAAAATCAAAAATTGATATGCTTGCCAAAAAATCGAAAAAAATTGCTGAAGGAGAGAAAAAAAAGGACACTTGTAGTCGTTGTGATACATTAAAATCAAAAATTGATATGCTTGCCCAAAAATGAAAAAAAAAAAATTGCTGAAGGAGAGAAAAAAAAGGACACTTGTAGTCGTTGTGATACATTAAAATCAAAAATTGATATGCTTGCCAAAAAATCGAAAAAAATTGCTGAAGGAGAGAAAAAAAAGGACACTTGTAGTCGTTGTGATACATTAAAATCAAAAATTGATATGCTTGCCAAAAAATCGAAAAAAATTGCTGAAGGAGAGAAAAAAAAGGACACTTGTAGTCGTTGTGATACATTAAAATCAAAAATTGATATGCTTGCCAAAAAATCGAAAAAAATTGCTGAAGGAGAGAAAAAAAAGGACACTTGTAGTCGTTGTGATACATTAAAATCAAAAATTGATATGCTTGCCAAAAAATCGAAAAAAATTGCTGAAGGAGAGAAAAAAAAGGACACTTGTAGTCGTTGTGATACATTAAAATCAAAAATTGATATGCTTGCCAAAAAATCGAAAAAAATTGCTGAAGGAGAGAAAAAAAAGGACACTTGTAGTCTTGGGTTGTTGTGATACTTAAAATCAAAAATTGATATGCTTGCCAAAAAATCGAAAAAAATTGCTGAAGGAGAGAAAAAAAAACATATTCAGGACCTAGAGGGGGGGGGGAACTGACGAAAAAAGAACTTCGTTTGAGGAACAGCCAATTATGACAGCGACAATTTTTTACTGCTAATATTAACAGAAGCAACTGGGGGAAAAGTATTTTAGTTACCTACTTACCTACCAAAAAAAAAAAAAAAAAATTTTTTTTTTTTTTGTACATACATTTTTTTTCTTTATAATACACACCAAAAATTTGAAAATTTATTACTAATTTAAAATACTATCCTATTAAATTACTAACTATTACCTATTAAATTATCATTTATTATTTATTACTAATATTATCTATTAAATTACTAACTTACAATTTTAAATTACTATTATACATTAGCATAATTAATAATGATTCTAATGCCATCCATTATGCTGTCGACTGTAAAGTTATCATCTAAGCAACATGTCTGCCTCACTTTTATATTTTTACCTTTCATATTACGGCAGTATATATTAAATACTTAACAAAACTCTCCTGTGGACACCACGACTTCCTTGTTATGGCCTATTAAATTATACATATTTTTTGCTGCATTCCATTTAAACTTCTTTCCTCGAATTTCATTAGAGATATATTTCTCATTCAATTAATTCGCGGCAAGACAAAAATAACTAAAAACTCAGAACAACTTCATTAAAAATCGTAAAATACAGGAAACCATAAGACACCAAATACAGTTCAAAAAACAATTTTTACCATTAAAATTAGAGTTTCTACGCAAAAACAAACAATTCGACCAGCGGTGAGAAGACAAATTTTTCGGTGCACAAAACTAAAAGTTTACTTTTGGTCCCACTCCGGCAAAAAGACATTGAAATTGGTGCAGAAACTGACTTAATTCAGTATTATACTAAGTTTCAAATGTAAACAAATGTCGGCCATAACACCATAAACACGAGGGTGTCGGGGGACAATTACTCAAGTAATTTATCAATTTTACTGCATAAATTGCTTTTCACTCAAAATTGAATTAGCGAAAATGCTTAATCAGAATGAGTTCTTTGGTGCTGCGCATTGGTTCTTGATCCCTTCAATTCACGGAAATATTTGGCCTAACTTAAATTGACAGTTTGGCATCGCCTTATTACTTGAGTAAAGGACGAAACACCTTCGTATTTATTTCTTAATTATTGTACATTGAACGGGGGTTTGTTCCCCTTGAAAAGTCAACTAAATTCCGATCAATGTTTGCCACATTTGGCGAGAAATCACCCATTTGGCGACAAAATTGGCGATATGCCATGGACGCTTGGAGAACCTTCTGGAACGAATTCTCACCGGTTTAGCCCAGAATGTTCTCGAACACAAGCCGAAAGCTATACAAACACTGCTGGTCCGCAGTCAGAGAGTGCCTCGTCTGGAGTGCGAGATAGTTAGTATCGAGTTGGTGTCTAGCGAGTCAATCCCTGCGAAGTCGGTCGAGTTGACAGCCGGGCAGCGAGTGCCAAGTGGGTCGTCGAGTGCACCGAAAGAGTCTCGTAGTGTATCGTGGTTAGTGCATCGTCGAGAGAGCGTGTTGAGCTCCGGGAACGACTGAACCGAAAAGTCGGGAGCTGTGCTCTGCGTGTCGTCGAGTTCATCACGAGTTGTAACGTGGAGAGTCTCGAGAGTACGTGGAGTTCCGAGGACGATCAAGCAGAGTCGGGAGCTTTACTCTACTGCTTTGCCGTGAGCTGTCTCCACCGTTATTGCCTGACAGTGTGAAGGCTGTGTCGCCTGTGTTTATAACAGTTTGACGACTGTAAAAGTGAGTTTGGAGCTGTCCTGATGAATATTGGTAAATAAATTGTGTTTCGATATTTCATCAAGTGCTGTCGTCATTATTCATTCCAAATCCATACGAACCCCGTACAAACGTGAAGGAAGAGAAGAAAATAACGCAACAACTGGTGTCCGAAGAAAATAACGCAACAATATTTATATACGTTTGGTGCGACCGATTGCAGCCAAAATAGGAGGTGCACATCTGCATGTTATAGCAGTCCTATATACAAAATTTCAACGTTCTGAGGCTACATGTTTTTGAGTTATGCGAGATACACACGTAGGTAAGTAAGTATAGACACCACGAAAAATTCTCTTCAGAATTCACTTTAAAGCAGTTTTATAATTTTTTTGGAGGAAAAGAGTCTTTTATTCTGTCCTTACGTACAGATATATGGCAAAAACATCGTTAAATTGCATTCGCTAGCGGCCAAAATGGATATTTTCGTTGAAATATGCTGCCTGAAACGTTTCGCGATTACAATACTTCTTTTTTACTTCGTACAAGGAAGTAAAAACTGTCATATGAGTTTATGTAAATATTAATAATAAAGTATTTATAAACATAGTTTATTGTTACATTGCATATAACATTAAGCGAGAATTTTTATGAATATTTACACAATCAACGTAATTAATAAAAGACGGTTCGAATAACACATTTGATATTACACAGAGGAAAAGTCGTTTGCTTATTCAAACAGCACACGTAGATATTTTGCACAGACGATGAGTTTTGGGAATAGATTAGAAGCTGTTAAGTAACGTTATCACGATTGTTATAAAATATAAAGGCTACATTTTAGCCTGGAGAAAAAAGCATTCTTTACATCTGTACCTTGTCCGACCTAGATTTAATATTTGTTTACTAATCTGCTCATCTTCCCCAAGGCTGCAGTATAATTTCTCTCACAGAATGATTTTCCTTGTACTAAAGACATAATTGAGAATAATAACAATAGCTTACATGTAAAACAAACCTGATAGCTTAGTAGTATAACGCACACAAATCAACACCTCTTTTTTTTTTAACATCTGCATTTCAAAACACGAACAGTCATTCATGAACATTCCCATCAACAATAAAAATAAAATAATATTAGAACGAAAAATAAAATATGCGTGACAGACGAATAAGTGGGACGGTTTTTCTTCTTCTCCCCCCCCCTGCCCCTTCAGAAAGCGACGGGAGGAAAAAAAGGTATAAATATAAAGGTCCAATGGGTTTGCGGAGGCCCCGGGAGAAATAAAGAAAGAATCAGGAAATAGGGTACGAGCCTCAAACTAGATCAATGTCAAAAAAAAAAATAAATAAATAAAATGAAAAGAATCATTTTGGTCAATGGCGTGAACAGGTGGAAAAGAACAACTAACTGAGCGAGAACTAAATGTTTGTGGACAATTGCGTAAACTGTGACAGATGACTGTATTTCTCTAACCTAAAGCATTTATCCAGTAGCGGTAAATAAATAAAGATAATGTGTCACATGCAAAAACTACCCACGGGCCAAATGGCATTCTTTTTCTTTTTTCATTCGTAGCAATGCATACAAAATGCCGCTTATCTGGTGCGATCTGTGAGAACAGTTAGCGTGCACTAGAAAACAACACAGAATATATTTGAGTCTTTTTTTTATTTGCATATTTACCTGAAACTAGGTAATTATTTATTCCCACAGCTAATTTAATAAAAAAATGTCTGAAAGCTTTCAGATTTTATATTACGTTCAAAGAGGTGGGTGTTTTTTTTTAAACGTTTTGTTTGTGTGTTATCTTTATTTATTAAATATCATGTTTTTCGCACTTAAACCACATAAAATTCAATTCAACAGCAACATCGCAAAATATAAAAAGAGCATATCTTTACAATTTCCGACATATAGTCTCTCGCGCTGGATATGTATTTTTTTTTCCTAATTATTATTATTTTTTTTCGCACATTCTTGTCATTGCTTGCTTTGAAATCATTGAGTTTGTTAATCAAAATATCGTTAACCGCTTTACAAAACATGGTTTGGTTTATTGGTTTATTAGATTACGGCAAAGCATTCGAGGGCTATCTGCTTTAAGGGAGGGATGCCTTCGTGGAGGACTTTTTAAGGGAAAATGGCTCGTATACACGTTACACATGAGGAAAACCACGAAAACACCCATGCAGCCAGCCCGTTCGCGGGATTCGAACCTCGGACCGAACTACCCGTGTTCAGCGACGTTACCGCTCGGCCGCTGGTGGGCTACAAAACATGAAATACATAATAAAACAAATTCAAAATTTTGGCTTCCAGATGCCTATATTAGAGTAGAGGTTATATTCAGATTATTCAAAATTTGATTGTTTTTTCGATTCTTTATTATTTAATTTCTTTTAATATAACACAGGCTCTAATCGCAGTTGCATTACGGTGACAGCTAACGGAGAGAAGAAGTATAGTACAGATCCAAATTATAAAAACTGGTTAATTAACATAAAATACCTTACAAATGACAAGGACACACAGCATGACACACAATAATGACAAGGACACATAATGTTATGCAGATATCGTGGAGCTGCTGCATCATTTTTGCGCCTGTGACGACGTTGCCATACAGCTGTAGCTGGAAATAAGCCCTTCTAGGAATCTTTAAAGGCCATTCGCACTGGGGTTTATCTGCGCTAACGGAGTCAGTTCCATGTGGCGACTAGCTCCGTCATACGTGAAGTTCAGACTTTTCAACTTACTTTGCTATGAAGAAAACTGGTTTTGGAGCTGCGTTGGGTATGTCAAACGTCTCCATTAGCTCAAATAAACCTCAGTGTGAACGGCCTCTCAATAGTAACATGGTTCAGACGCCTTCGAACGAAGAAATTGAAAATTAGTTAGTTCAAGAACTGTAATTTTCTTGTTCCTCAGAGTTACGAGGATGGCAAGAGTACACGGGTAGCAGAAAAAGAGTAAACCAAGCCAACTTGCAAGGGGCAGCCTGTCTTGAAGCATTCGCGAAGGCTCAACTTACATTGCCGAAGACACCGAATCTTAACTTAGATGACCACCTAAATGAATGAGGGGGGGGCCAGTCAGGCTGTCAGCATGTTAACTATGCAGCGCTTGCTTCACCTTATGAGTCGAAGAGCCACGACAGAATCTCTTTTCACTGCATCGCAGTG